ATTATTTGAGAATTTCAATGAGTTCAAAACTTTATTTAAGCACGATAGAACTTTTAAGATCTCAATTGTGAATTTGGTAAAAGTTTGGGACTTTATTCAGTACTTAAGCCAAATGGGAATTACAGAAACATTCAATGAGTGGAGTTAGTGGTCACTTCACATTAGTCTGGGCAGAAGTATTAAACTCGCATGACAATTTTCATGCCTTGAAAATTTGGCTAGGAACATGTTCAACTCGAACATGTAAGGTAAACAAGGTGGTAGCTTCAAAACGATTTCACAAGAAAGCTAATTATGAGATATTTGACTCTAAAGATGTATTTAACAGCTTGAACTCTTGGTCGATGGTCTAGTTGGCTCCGCCGCAGGAAACCGGTTCGTCTTGACAGACAAATGTAAGCACCAAGATTACCAAAAGAACCATCTTTTGCTAGTTGTACTTGCACTTGGTTCATCCTTTTTCCTATTTTCTATGCCCTGGTTTAAGGATTCCAACCGACTCCTGCACATAAAATAAGAACTGCAATTTGGAGATCAAAAACCCCGAGGTATCCTTTTCATTTGTAATCTTGTAGCAAACATAGAGACCATACTCCCAAAAACCTAACAAAAACTGAGTAGAAACTACGACACTAGATCACTTAGAAAACAAAGGCGATCAAAAGCAAGCACTTCATCGCAATATAAGCCACCCAGTAGTTGGCAAATACTTTTTAGGTGAGCAGGACAAATCCATGAAGAGCTTTCCACTGTCATCTAATTTGTTAAAACAAGACAAGCACCTTGTTAATCACTTTGATAGGATGATAACACATCCAAGAAAACTTGGACGACTAGTGAAACTCATGGCAACTCATAAACATGTTACGATTATGGATTTGTTTAACATTACTTGGTATCTGAAAGACGTCCATGCAAACTCCATCTCTGGCGGAATCCTTCAATGCCTTCAATTCCACTAGCCAGAATCAAGCGCCTGTAAATGTAATAATAACACATGAATTGCTTCCAAAGACAATCAATTTGTTACATCATAACTGATAGTAGAAAAGCCAAGCATTAATTTTGTTTTCAGAACAAAATATAGATGATGGCAATGGTGAGGTCAACTGTCTGTACCAACCAGTAACAATAAGATTTCTTAGGGGACATCTTGTAGTTCACTTTCTTCTTCTTTTAATTTTGATTTTTTAATTCTAAATAAGTGATGCTCAAAACTTCAAAAGGAAGATGATGGAGAAAGCACTAAGATGGTTGAATCTATATGTTTGGAGCAAAAACTATACTTTGGCAAACAAGAATAGTGCAACATTTAGGATATAAAAGGTTCCAATAACTATCGAGTTCCAATTGTAGGTTACAAGATTGCTGAAGATTAAGTTAATAATTCTGCTCTAAATAAACATGTTGTGGCTTCAAGTTTGATTGTAACCCACCCAAAGAAAAGGTCCATAATTCCCAGTGAATTACCTCTCCAATGTTGTGACTTCTGATTCAAGCTGAGCAGCTCTTTCCTTTGCTTGATCTAAAGGCATTGATAGTCCCAATTTTCTTTCACTATCTTTGAGACGTTGCCTTAGTTCCTTATCCTGAAACTCGAATTTGTAAACACAGCTCAAAAAAATATAAATTTTAATGTGTACATTCACGATATCCATTAAAAGTCTCACCCTCTTTTCAGCACACTGTCGATACAATACAAGCTCATCCTGACAGAAAGGTTCAATATCATTAATTTGCAGGCCTACAACATAAAGCAACAATATGTTACCCAAATGGCCTACTTTAAATCATAATTGTAGGAATCAGATATTTTTCCCACAAAAATTAGAGTCATACCCACTCTACAAGGGAAAGAAGTAGATCCACAAAGTGGAACAATTAATAAGTTTTCAATATGATGTGCTATTGATGTATTTTCTATTTTGTTCCTCAGCACAACTCCTGATGAAATTTTGGAACATGGTAGAGCACATGATGTAATTTTAGACATTTAAGAGGCTGAATTTCATCAGAGCAAGACTTCATCCGACTAAAGAAGGAAACAGAGGACTTACATAAAAAGAGATTCCTCAAAACCCCATCACACAAATCAACACCTTCAAGGACATGGGAGGCAATTTCAGGGGGGATGAGAGGAGATGGTGGTCCCATCATTAAATCCTCACCAACCAATATAGTTTCCTCCATGGTTGGTTGGGCATCAACTGCAGCCAACAAGAGGTAAAAGCAAAATCGAGAATTAGTTACTTTTAAGTCCAAATAGTTTTCTCTTTCAATTTGAGAGTATAAAGCAATCAAATCTCATATTCACATACTAAAGCAATATCCAAAACAAGCAATATTCGAGTTAAGAGTCTAAGAACAACAATCTAAAAAAACGCACATAACAAAAAATCCAATCCATTGAACAAGAAAAACGGATGAAAACTCTAAATTGCTACTACAGAGCCAGCCTTGACGTACCATCCATGGTTACTTTCTTGCTAACCTTGAAGCCACAGGGAAAACTCAGTGCCAAATTATCACCAAGAGTCAGTTAAGACCTGTAAAAACAAGGAAGAGAAACAACAATGTGAGAAGAAAATCAGTAAAAACAATGTGAAGCAGCAATCATGCAGTCCAAAAATCTAAGCAACAAGCTTCACTTCAATTTTTACTAAAAATTGTGCAACCCATATTAAAACTTCCTTGGTATTTCATTTAATACACGAAATTTTTTATTTTTATTTTTGATACAAGATGCCTGGGCATCCTTCATTGTAGCATTTTATCAAACAAGTAAGACGCATTTCAAACAGGATAACATGCGAAGGTTAACACGTAGAAGCAAATGGGGTTTTGATAAATTATAAGAAATTCTAAGAGAGTCATGGCTTACTTGGAGAGAAACAAAAATGCCAGAAGAAAATCACTAAAAACGATGTGAAGCAGCAATCATGCAGTACAAAAATGTAATCAACTAACTTCCCATCCAATTTTTATTAGAAATTGTGCAAGCCATAATGCAACTTCCTTGGCATTTCATGTAATGCAAGAAAAAAAAAATTGTTTCTTGATACACGATGCCAAGGCATCCTTCATTGTGGCATTTTATCAAACAAGTAAGACGCATTACAACGTTAACGAGTAGAACCATATGTCATTTTGATAAATTCTAAGATATTATAAGAGAGTCATGGCTTACTTGAAGCAGAGAAAGGAGGGCGATGAAATTCTGCAGCAGAAATGGTTGTAGTCTGGTAGAGCACGGGTAAACAGCAAAACTAAAACTCTAACTGGTTATATTCATTGGTGAACAGTGAATCTCTGTTGTAGGCTTCGCATCATATATTTTGTTTAGGAATAACACTAAGATTGGCCCCTCAACTTGGTTGTTTGTTTTGATTAAGTAGGCAATTTACCGTTTGGCTTGGCCGAGATACCCGACTCTGAGCGGGACAAAGAAGAAGTGAATTCCCAGGCGGTGTTTGCCTCGAAAATTTTCTCACAACTGTTCTAGATTTTTTTATTATATAAAAGATTATTTACTTGTATTTTTATATATTAATATTTAAATAAAAAATAAAAGTAATATTTTTAATATTTATTTTTTTAATACAA